AACCAACCCCGCCGTATGTATTGTACTGTATTGTTTGATAACTGAATGTACATACACGTACCTGCGGCGGGCGTGTGATGCTGTAGATGCAACAGTGCTGCCGGACAAATAACGTTTGACGCCCAGGAAGTCCGCTAATTTGTAAATACGTGTTCTGATTCTGGAGAGTAAAGTCTTTTCTGAATGGCTGCCAGACACATACGACTACATAATAAAAGTCCCGAGAAATAAGACCACTCAAAAGCAGTTTGGGAAGAAGCTATTTCTGTTTTAAGAAAAGTATTTCGTTTAAAAGAATATATATTGGCCATGTGTGAAAAAATCTGCAGAGGATAAAACACAAATATAGCACTCGGGCAGCTCAAAGGGATCCAGCTGACATGCTAACTCTTCCCCTGAGTTTAATTAACACCTGTTTTAGACTTCACTTTACAAACACCTGCACAAAATGAGCTTAAATAGATTGAAAATGAACAAAAATGTACACACTGACACTTAAATGTTGCACGATTGAATTGCTGTCTCATTGAACTAACTGAACAAAATGATGTCCTATCCTTCTGCTAAGTTTGAAAATACATTGTAGTACATGACTGAAATGCAGTCTCGCAAACCTTTATCTCCTGACACCAAATCAGTCAATGGAGTGTATTTAGTTTGTGCATCAACCAAACTGATCCATGGAAAAAGGCTGTAAAACAACAGAGAGAAGCTATTATAAATTATTTTCTTATTATCAATGTTGAAAACAGTTATGCTGCTTAATATTTTCGTGGAAACCTTGATTCATTCTCTTTGATAAATAGAAAGTTCAAAAGAACACCATTTATTTTAAACAGATTTTTTTTCTTGACTGTCATTTTTTATCAGTTCAGTGCATCCTTGATGAATAAAAGTATTAATTTATTTAAAGTGGTCCTATTATGCTCTTTTACAAAGTTTGGATGGAGGGGTGGTTGAACCACGTAGACAGAAAGGACGGACCCGCCGGTCTGTGTGGATTCATGAGATTTTGGGCGCTAGAAAACAGCTCGGTGAGTATCATCGTTTGGTCCAAGAACTGAAGTTGGACGGAAGCCGGTTCAAGGAGTACTTTCGGTTCGCGCCGCGCCGCGCTGTCAGTTCGGTGGCGCTGGTAAACACGTCCTCTCTGCGCCGTCGAGTCGGTCGCGCAGCTCGGTCCATTGAGCCGCGCCGATGACAGGTCAGCGTGGCGCGAACACTTTAATACCGCGCTGTTTCATCCCACTTTTGGTGTGTTCGGCTTCCCATAGTCCAGCCTCAAACCCGAGAGAGGTTAAATTAACTGTGAAGTCCAACATTTCGAGAAACGTGGCTGTTTAAGGTAATCTATTTAACGTAATCAGGTCCGGTTTCTATGGTAACCGTTTCAAACTGTGAAACTAGAATCAGTAAAACATAAAGCGCTATGGTAAAACTTCACGTCAGGTTTTCAAAATAAAAGTCCCAAGGACCCCATTTGCGCTTTAGAATTCAGAATTTAATGTTCGGGGACCTCTATTGGCATGCTGAATTAAAATTTTATTCATAGCAAGTTTATAAAAATAAAATACAAAATAATTCCAACTGAAAAAAAAATAAATAAATAAAATAAAACACTGTACAAGGCATTTATGATACAAATAAAAATTAACACAAATAATTACAATAATGTACAATGTCCCACCCCATAACATTCTTTTGTACACTGTACATTTAACTTCATAAATTGTGAAGAACAATATGCAGTAAGAAAAACATCTATAAAAATTATACAGATGTAAAAATGTATTTTCTTTTCTCATACTGTTACATCATTGCTTGTCATTTTGTGACAATTAATAATAGAGCAGCAATAGAGAAATTCAGCTTTTGCATTGTTAGAGATGAAATGCAAGCAGAGAAATCGTACTACACAGATTAACTTTCAGTCCATTGTCAAAACAATACTGTGCAGTTTAAGTGTTCAATATGGAGACAAAATGCATGGAGAAAATAGGTTGAGATCCATCAAGCAATGAAACAGTCTGCTTTGGATGGGATAAAACCAGTGTACTAAATTGCATTTCACTAATCACCTAATACATTGATTTTATTTTAAACAAGGTAAAGGGGTTTGTCAACGAAATTGAAATGAAACAGCATGTCAGGGTGTCCTGGAAAATTCTGTCCTGTTTTCTTTGTTATTTAACATTGACCTGACGAACATAAAAAGTTTGCTATGGTGAAATATGCCTGTAATCTCCTTCGGCCCAAGGATTTATTGCAGTGATGGTTTTAAGGTGATTGAGCAGAAAGTGTCTTAAATCTGACCCATTAATACCAATTACTGACTATATAATACAAGGCTGTGATTGCAACTGTAAATTGTCTGACTAAAGCGATGCTATAATAATGATAATAATAATAATTGGAAAAAAAAAAATCTTGCTACTAATGCCTTTTTTTCTCTAATGCTTATATAGTTTTTTTTATTGAGAAAAAAATTCATATTTGTATGATGCCATATGCTGATAGATTAACTTTCAGTCCATTGTCAAAACAATACTGTGCAGTTTAAGTGTTCAATATGGAGACAAAATGCATGGAGAAAATAGGTTGAGATCCATCAAGCAATGAAACAGTCTGCTTTGGATGGGATAAAACCAGTGTACTAAATTGCATTTCACTAATCACCTAATACATTGATTTTATTTTAAACAAGGTAAAGGGGTTTGTCAACGAAATTGAAATGAAACAGCATGTCAGGGTGTCCTGGAAAATTCTGTCCTGTTTTCTTTGTTATTTAACATTGACCTGACGAACATAAAAAGTTTGCTATGGTGAAATATGCCTGTAATCTCCTTCGGCCCAAGGATTTATTGCAGTGATGGTTTTAAGGTGATTGAGCAGAAAGTGTCTTAAATCTGACCCATTAATACCAATTACTGACTATATAATACAAGGCTGTGATTGCAACTGTAAATTGTCTGACTAAAGCGATGCTATAATAATGATAATAATAATAATTGGAAAAAAAAAATCTTGCTACTAATGCCTTTTTTTCTCTAATGCTTATATAGTTTTTTTTATTGAGAAAAAAAATCATATTTGTATGATGCCATATGCTGATATCCCAAATCACCTACCAGATTACACCCTCATACTCATAAATGCATATTAACCAGCTGAGGATTGAGTAAGTACACTCTGCAAATGTTCTCTCTGCAAGTGCTGATATAAAGTTAAAACATGGGTAGTGAGGTTAAGAGAATATATTTAAGACACAAACCAGAGGACAGACAGGAAATAATAAACATGAAGTCCCTATTTACAAGATGACTGAACTTATCAGGCTACAAACTCCAGGTATATGAAAACTTGTATGCTGGGTTTATTGTGCATGGCAGCGTTTTGTTATTTTTCTGTAGCTCATGCAACGAGTTGGCCTTCTATGTGAAGTGGAAGCTATATTACAGCATTTTACAAGCGGAGAGGGAAGACAGCTGTGTAACTTATTGTTCCAGCCTTTGAAGGGAATTAGATGCATGCTTTTCAAAAATATGTATTATTTTTTTAATGAACTCTGAAACATGTAAAACTTTGATATGAGTGACAAATGACAAATAGCAGCCCAAAAACTTTGAAGTTTTGCTATGTAAAACTAACATTTGTTAAATTTTTTTCAATTGGATATCATGTGGCAAATATAATAAAACTATACGTTTAATCCGTGAATATTGGCCACTGTATCAGTATCAGAACTCTTCCCATAAAATAAGAAATAGTAGAAGTATCTATACCGTTTTAACATTAAGTTGACAGATTGTATGCAAGGTGAGTAGTGATTTTTGATATGCAAAGCCAAGACACCCAGAGAGAATCTGTAAAACGGGTTAAAAATGGTAAATGTTTAATGGAGCTGAGAGCATGTCATTCTTATTGGTAGCTGAAAGCACAAATCGCATCAACTAAAATATTTTATATTCAAAAATGCAATCTACTATATAGAACTTGATGGATGGTTCAGTTTTAAGTCGAGTTTTCTGCGAAGTATAACAGGCATAGATTATATGAGGGCCTGCAAATAACCAGTAAAAAATAAGTGTGACTTATATGACACTTTGTTCTGCTGGAAACGGTACATTGCTGTGGGATACCAGAGGCTCTACAGCAAAACAAAGTTAACAAACAG